GTTTAATGTGCGTTGGTGCCTCTTGATTGTGTTGAATTCGTTTTATGAGCGCTTGGTGCTATGAATTTGCTAGGTATGTCTATTTACATTTTAATTCAATATGTATTTATTGTGCACCGTTTGTGACTGTATTTGTGCATCTATTCTGTGTTCATGTTAACAATAAGAGTTGTGGTGGTTGTGGTGGGTGCAATGGTTTAGGGAGTTGTGTGTGCTTTAATGGGATTTTAATGTTTTTGTAGCAGTGGGTAACCTCACTTTTTGACTCTGTGTGTTAATTTTTCATTGTTATTTTCGGTAGTTGTGCATTAGTGTATTGACATTTTTATTTTACCTACATGCTGGCTATTTTTATTCACACGTGTGTTTTATAAATTCATGCGGGTTTTTTCCATGTTAGCAGTGCTTGTTGTTGGTGGTGGTAGAATTTCTTGTGTGCTAAATTCGTTTATCTAGTTTATATTAATATAAATTTTTTGATGTTCTTCTGTGCATTGTAGTTTACCTTATTTGCGCATTAGTTTACTGCCATTAATTTTTTATATAGATGCGGTCTGTTTTTTTTTTTTTTTTTTTTTTAACCCCCATGCATTTTTTTAATGCATATTAACAGTGGTTGTGATCGTTGGTATGGTTGGTCATGGTGGTAGCTTCATTCGGCTAATTTTTGTTTGTTATTTGTGCATGTAGGAAAATCTTAGTCTATCAAAGGTTGTGTTATGAATATTTCTCCAGGTGGGACAAAGTATTGGATGCTGAGTTAGGAAGAGGTGGCGAGCTGTTATAGGTTCCCAATTCAAATTAAAAGCTTACAAATGTAGTAGCGGGAGTAAGGATTGTTGGAAAATTAGCTTAAAATGACATAAAAATGGCATATTAAGTGGCTATTTTGTGGTACAATTATCAGTGGGGTCCACTTCCCATTTGGGTCGGGTCAAAGTGGATTCGTATTCTTCGTAGTGAGACGAAGAGATTGATATATTGTACGCTCAAAACGGATAATGGGTGAATGAGATATTGATTCTCAAAGTAGACCCATTTGAGTTGGGAAATGAAGGGAAAATGTAGGACTTTGTCCCACATTGGTTTGGAAACAGGATTTGCCCCCCTTATATACATGAGCTCTTTTCAAGCTTGTAGAATTGTATAGCATAGAGGCTCTCTCGCGCGCGAGGTGGTGGGGGGGTGGGGGGGGTTGCAAATCAAAATCCAACTAGAAGAGCTCAAAATGCTTGAATCAAGCCCGAGCTCGCGTGCGCCGGCACCTGTGGGCACGAATGTCGTCCGGAAATTGGCTGGCCGTGCGGGCTAAGTTATGCCAAACTTCGGTATCATTTTCCATCTGTTATGTTGTGGTGCACCGAGAGCAAAACTCTCGTGCAACGGTGAATACGAGAGGTGTACTTTCGTGTTGTATCACAACACGAGAGTGGGTACTCTCTTGCACCACAGCACGAGAGTGTATACTCTCGTGCACCCCAACGGTCAGAAACCAGAAAGTGCAGAAGATTAAACTCACCTGTTACGGAATTAATACTGTTTTAATTCCAATTTTAAACTCTGAGTTTAATCCTACTTAGTGGTGACCGTTACAGGTGTTACACAATTGGTTTTAACACCAATTTAATGCCCATGTTGAATGCTATCACTCCAACATCCCTATATAAAGAGAGGTAGAGCAGTAGCATTTTACACAGGAATTCCAGTAGCTTTTAATCTCAAAACTCTGCTTCTTGTTTAAGTGCTTGCTTTGTTCGAAGAGCTCTTTGTTTAAGTGCTTAAATAAAGAGTTGTAACACGTTTTATCTTGGGAAACCTAGGCTACAACGCTCATAGCACTTGTGGGAGGTAGCAAATAAGGTTTTAAGGAAAAGAACCTTGTGTTCGAACTCGTGTTAAACCCTATACCCAAACACTCAACCTTTTCCTTCCCAGTTTCTGTTTTCCCATATAATATTATTTATTTCCGTAGGATTATTATTATTTTGGGATTTTTCACCTTTTTACCCAACAAGGATCGATCTCACAAGGTGTAACTAGTTTAACTCTAGTGCTTAAGGAATTGATGGGGGGGGGGGGGGGTTGAAATAACGAGAATAAAGATTAAATAAAATAGAATTTAAATACAAAGCAAAGAAAATAATATATTGAAAGCACTTATAATAGAAAACCTTGGTTAGTAAAGATCTACCGCCGAAATTTAACACTAATCATTGATTCAAAAAGTAATTAATATGCAGTTGAATATTTGTCGTGAAATTATTTCATTTCCGTTTTCCCTTAGTTGTAGGTAACTAAAGCACACGCGGTTTAATTACCCCTAACTACTAAATAATCTAAGACAAGCGCTATAGATTTAATTTAATAGCATCAATATGAATGAGGAAAACCGACAAACTAAATAACACAAGCACAAGCGGTTGCATTTAATTTAAGAAAATATTCTACCCGAGACCAATTATCAGTTATCACTAAACCGTCAATAATTAACCCCAGTTGCTACTGAATATTAGAATAATTTGTAGCACTAACATTAACTAATATAGCAAATAATTATATCAAATAAATAAATAACTAGTAGGCCTCCTATCAATTAAATGATACAACTATTTAAATAATTTAGAAGAATATTTAATACTCAAATACATAAAAAAACATATATAGTAAAAATAAATAAATAATCTTACGACATAATCAATTCTGGAGCTTCAATTCACTCAACCAAACTAAAGAAATTAGCTACGAATAAACATTGATAACAACTTTAAAGAATAATAAGAAGAATGAACGAATCAACAAAATAAATCTTCTACTATTTATACACTCCTCGAAATAGACTAAAGCTATTTTACGCCATAACTAGAAGAGCTCAAAATGCTTGAATCAAGCCCGAGCTCGCGTGCGCCGGCACCTGTGGGCACGAATGTCGTCCGGAAATTGGCTGGCCGTGCGGGCTAAGTTATGCCAAACTTCGGTATCATTTTCCATCTGTTATGTTGTGGTGCACCGAGAGCAAAACTCTCGTGCAACGGTGAATACGAGAGGTGTACTTTCGTGTTGTATCACAACACGAGAGTGGGTACTCTCGTGCACCACAGCACGAGAGTGTATACTCTCGTGCACCCCAACGGTCAGAAACCAGAAAGTGCAGAAGATTAAACTCACCTGTTACGGAATTAATACTGTTTTAATTCCAATTTTAAACTCTGAGTTTAATCCTACTTAGTGGTGACCGTTACAGGTGTTACACAATTGGTTTTAACACCAATTTAATGCCCATGTTGAATGCTATCACTCCAACATCCCTATATAAAGAGAGGTAGAGCAGTAGCATTTTACACAGGAATTCCAGTAGCTTTTAATCTCAAAACTCTGCTTCTTGTTTAAGTGCTTGCTTTGTTCGAAGAGCTCTTTGTTTAAGTGCTTAAATAAAGAGTTGTAACACGTTTTATCTTGGGAAACCTAGGCTACAACGCTCATAGCACTTGTGGGAGGTAGCAAATAAGGTTTTAAGGAAAAGAACCTTGTGTTCGAACTCGTGTTAAACCCTATACCCAAACACTCAACCTTTTCCTTCCCAGTTTCTGTTTTCCCATATAATATTATTTATTTCCGTAGGATTATTATTATTTTGGGATTTTTCACCTTTTTACCCAACAAGGATCGATCTCACAAGGTGTAACTAGTTTAACTCTAGTGCTTAAGGAATTGATGGGGGGGGGGGGGGGGGGGGTTGAAATAACGAGAATAAAGATTAAATAAAATAGAATTTAAATACAAAGCAAAGAAAATAATATATTGAAAGCACTTATAATAGAAAACCTTGGTTAGTAAAGATCTACCGCCGAAATTTAACACTAATCATTGATTCAAAAAGTAATTAATATGCAGTTGAATATTTGTCGTGAAATTATTTCATTTCCGTTTTCCCTTAGTTGTAGGTAACTAAAGCACACGCGGTTTAATTACCCCTAACTACTAAATAATCTAAGACAAGCGCTATAGATTTAATTTAATAGCATCAATATGAATGAGGAAAACCGACAAACTAAATAACACAAGCACAAGCGGTTGCATTTAATTTAAGAAAATATTCTACCCGAGACCAATTATCAGTTATCACTAAACCGTCAATAATTAACCCCAGTTGCTACTGAATATTAGAATAATTTGTAGCACTAACATTAACTAATATAGCAAATAATTATATCAAATAAATAAATAACTAGTAGGCCTCCTATCAATTAAATGATACAACTATTTAAATAATTTAGAAGAATATTTAATACTCAAATACATAAAAAAACATATATAGTAAAAATAAATAAATAATCTTACGACATAATCAATTCTGGAGCTTCAATTCACTCAACCAAACTAAAGAAATTAGCTACGAATAAACATTGATAACAACTTTAAAGAATAATAAGAAGAATGAACGAATCAACAAAATAAATCTTCTACTATTTATACACTCCTCGAAATAGACTAAAGCTATTTTACGCCATAAATTTTCCTTCTGTGAATCCTCCGTGAATGCCGCTTGAGCCGTACATCGAAATCTGAGCAGAAACTTTGACAAATTCTTTTCTTTTCTGCTGTGTTGCGCCAAATACTTAGCAAGGAAGAAAAACAATAAAAAAAAAAATACAATGTTTATTTGTTGCTTTTATGCTAAGAATGCAATGAACCAAAGTACTTATAAATATAATATAAATATAAACTAATCTTAATTAGCTTTATTAACCAAATGAGTGCAAAATAAATAATAAATCATTTTATTAAGTAAATAAATGTTAAATTAAGTTAAATCATATGAAATAATAATTATAACACACATAAATAACATATACAAATAATACTTATCAAGAGGGTATTAATGTTAAGTATTTTGCAGGGCTTTGGACTTGGTGATTTAATGTTACTTTTTGTTTCACCTTGGTCTGTATGTTGTGATTCACAAATATCTTTGGTTTAATTTTCAATTTGTGTGGTGCTTATTTTGGATGTGGGTTGCAATGCAACTACTGTAGTTTAATTTACAAATATCATTGGTTTAATTTTCCAGTTGTGGCTTATTTTTGGATGTGGATTCCAATGTAGCTACAGTACGTAGTTCACCTCGCACACGAATGCACATGTAGGCCTATGCTCACGATTAGTAATTAGAAATGCAGATATTTTTTTAATCACCCATGCTCAACAACTCATACAACACAGTAGCAATGAGAACGCACCCTTTATATACTAAAAAATGCACAGACATTGGTCATAGTTATGCACATTTGGTGAAACCGTAAGAAAACGCAATAGTAAATTTAATTTTCCTATGTTCCACACTGTCTTTTATGAATGCTACTGACTCTATTACAATGTAGTATCTGTTCATAGCTACTTTCTCAACCTACTGGAGCACAAAGATCCACACTGTGTAAGATCTAAAATGCAAACACATCAATCAAACCATGGACACAAGTTTGAAATTAACATTTTACATATTCTAAAATGATCACACTGTTTGAAGTTAACATTTTCCAATTTCCCAATAAACTGCACACTTTGTAAGAGCAAAACATCACCCTGTATAACTGGTAAAATGCACACTAATAAGACCTAAAAAGCACACCCAGCAATACAAAGCTACACACAAGTTTACAATTGGCATTTTCTAGATTCTAAAATTATCACACGTTTGAAATTAACATTTTCCAACTGCCCAAAATGCACATTGTAAATTTTACATTGTCAATGTGCAAAACAGCACATGGAATAACTCGTAATATGCTCCAGATCTCTTCATTGGTTGTTCCACCAAATGGTTAGCAAGGGCACGTGTTTGGAAGGTGGGGGATCTATCTAAATCCACATTTTGTTAGACTAGCAATGCAAATAATCTAGCTCAGTTGCAAACAATCAAACTCGATAAATGCACACTATTTGTGTGGAAAACTGCCACAAATAATCTACGCTCCTAAAATGCACAATTTCAATATGGAAAAATGCATAACTGTAAATTGCACAATGTGTAAGAGTAATAAAGCACACTGCATTACTGTTGGAATGCACACTATCTAAGATCTGAAAAGCACACACAACAATACAATCCATACACACAAGTTTGAAATTAACATACAAAAAAATGTAAGAAATATACCTATTTTTTTAACACTTTAACCACCTTTTTCTTTCATCGCATACTCAGTATATATTAAGTGTTCTCCCCTTATTTCTGCATTCATTGTCTCTGCGCTATCGCACAAACTCTCAATTATCCGCCAACACAGACCCAATTATGTATATAAGAATTACATATATACACGCCTGATCCAACTTCTAACTTAACCTCTAAACACAGTGAAAAAGAAGGGTTCTGAAAGCATACTTTTTATTTTTTCCTGAATGAATACAGAATGTTACTCCATGTGCTGTGGGTCACCCTAACGATTGCAACTTTATCATTTCTTGGGACCTCAACTAAACTTGCTTATACACACACAGAGTAAAGGTGAGGGAGGGTAATGTGAATTCTTATAACTCTCTCCAAAAACGAAGTGGAGGAGAAGAAGAATGTGGGTTTATATACTCCAATAATTCTGGGGTTGTCTTTTTCTACATGGTTTCTAAACCTGTATGCAGTTAAACTTAAGATTTACGAAACTATCGTCTGCTGAAGAACTCGCCTCCAACACAGACTCACAGCAGAAACCACGCCATCAATTACAGTCCGATAATTACACCCCCATGAATTTGTTATTCAAAACTAGTATACCCCCACCCCCACCCCCAGAAAAAAAAAAAACAAAAAACAAACCCATTGTAGTCATTCGATAAAAATAACAAACAAAATCATAATAATATTTAACGTATTCTTATGGATTCTACTCGTCGCTTCAATAGAAGCATGCCGTTGACATCTCCTTGGTGCTCTATCGGCCATAGCTTGCGATTGTGAAGTAACCCGGTAGTCTTCACGACGTCTTCGTTTGTGCAGTTGTTTTCCTCTTAGTAGATTGTGCAATGCCGACACCTCCCCTACACATCCAACGTTTTAGCCCTAACTCAATAAGCCAAGAGTCCCCGTGTATATCGTTCCTTCCATTCTTGTCATTGCACATTCATTCATCCAATTACCTTTTTACCTCCAATATTAATTACTTGCACCATTACTAGTCTTTTTACTGGCTTTTTAATCTCCCCTTTTGAGCAATCTACACCCTTCGATGGTTCCATCCAACGGATATCATTCATCCACAATCCTCACCTAAGGTCCTATCCTCACTTGAACTTCATCCTCTATATATATATATATATATATATATATATATTTTTTTTTTTTTTTTTTTTTTTTTTTTTTTTTTTGAATCCATTGAGACCACCACAATCAGGTGAGATCATGAAATCCCATCTCATCCATTGATAAAGTTTCAACTGATAGATAGGATTGAAAGTCAAAAAACAATTAAATAAGGATAGATTTGAAAGACAAGGATGAAAGAGTAATTGTATTTTCATTTTTAAATTTGGTTATATTTAAAATAGAATCTTACCAGAATATTAGGAACCTATGAATAGTAATATTTAGTTATATTTTTTACATTTGTAATTTTAAATTATGGGAAATTTTACGGTGGTGTGTGTGGGTGTGGAATGGTGTGTGCGTTTTACTGTAACATGGCACGTACACCATGGCGTGCTAGTTTTTTTTTTTTTCATAAAATTATGTGTTTTGATATGTGCGTTTCGTGATACATGCATGTACATTTTGGTTTGTGTGTTACTAGTTTCGGCCGTGTGCGAAACGTATCCAAAAGAAAACAAAAATATACGAATCTAATTTGTGTATCGGCATTTGAATTTCGAGTAGATAATTAGTGCGTAGTAGATATAGTATTGGGCTTGTTGTGTTTTTTTGTTTTTTTAATTGTGGGGAATTTTACGGTTTTGTGTTCGCGGGTGTGGGATGGCGTGTGCGATTTTATGTAACAGGAGGTGTACACCATGGCAAACTATAAAACGCACATATAACACATTTTACATGCACCGAGGACACGTGTCGCGCGCTAATTCGTTTGCATATTCCCTCCTGGGCACTTATTCGCACCCGAGTGCATCCCATATATATATATATATATGTCCAATTTGAGAAAATGACATAGTCGGAGGACCATTTTAGCAATTTTCTCTTTATTATAGTTCAAACATTATTTGTACTATTTTGATTAAAAGGGGTTGATGTTGTACCTATTTCCATTTTCTAAATAAACAATTTTTTTTTTTTTTACTTTCAATTGTTAGCTAGAAAATTATTATTTTTTAAATAACTTAGAATAATAATTTTAATTATTAGCCTAGTACTTATATATAGTTGTACAAACTAACATTAACTTTGGATTAACTCTTTAATATTCAGGAATGCTTGACATTATGTATTTGGAATTTTGATTTTCTATGATACATACATGATGGTACTGCTCCACATTATGTATTTGGAATTTTGATTTTCTATGATACATATTACATTATGGTACTGCTCCTTATATTCAGACTCCAGTGACAGGCCATGATCCAAACATGAAGGTTAGTGCTCTTATACGGTCTGATTCACAGGACTGGAATGTTGACATACTGAATGAATTATTTTCGGCACGTGATGTTGGGCTTATCATTAAAATACTTGTCGCGAATGATTACGATGATGATTGGTGTTGGCGTGGAGATATTAGAGGAACATATTCGGTAAAGCATGGTTATCGCATGTTGACTGAAGTATATGTTGGTGGGCAGGTGGTGAGCGGTGTTTGGAGTTGTATCTGGAAATTGAAGATTCCACCAAAGGTCCATAACTTCTAATGGCGGTGCCTTCATAATGTTATCCCTACGCTCGCGGCACTTCAAAGCCGGAGAGTAGAAGTCGACGCTGCATGCCCTCTATGCCAGCAGGAGCCGGAAACCTTGAACCATTTGATGTGTGGTTGTGAAAAAGTGAGTCCTTTGTGGCATGATCTGCTTCATCAACCCCTGCCTCATATGAATGATTTCTGTGCGTGGTTAACTGGGACCCTAACTTCAAATGATACAGAGAAGAAAATGTTGGTTGATGCAGTCTGTTGGTGCATTTGGATGGGGAGGAATGCTTTGATTTGGAATGCTAAGCAGTGGCAGTCTTCATATATTAAAATGGAAGCAACGCGGCTTGTGAATGAATGGAGTGAACTGCATATCTCAATGCCGAATGGAGAAGCTACTCTTGTACACAGGGGTGTCAATACGGGCCGGCCCGCCTCATTAGGCCCGCCCCACCGCGGGCTTTTTATTTGGCGGGTTTTGGCGGGCCGGCACACGAAGTCCGCGGACTTGGAACTATACAACTCAAGCCCGCCCTATGCGGGTTTGCGAGTCTCGCAGGCTGGCCCGCGGGCCATAACTTAAATTTAAAAAAAAAAAACGTTAAATAGTATATAAACATGTTAAAACCGCTTGAAATATCACACCGGAAACTTTCATAAAGTCCATAAACCTCGCCCAAGTCTCCCGGATCGATACCGCGCGTTCAGCAGAACTCTAGAAGGGTGATCAAAGCTAGGGTTCAACAACACACTTGATTTCTCTCTCGGCTTCATATTTTCCGTCTACAATTCCCGTCTGTGTATAATACATATATAAATATGTATGTTTGCTGGACTTGGAGACGATTTAGTAATTCATAAATATGTATGAATTGATGATTTAGTTTTAGTAATTGTTTGATAAAGTTGGAGGCGGATGGAGACGGGAGAACCGAAGTACTACGTACTCTAGGAATTATTGAATTAAGAATTGGCGAAAGATTATTCAATTATTGGATTTCTCCCCTTCTGCGTACTCTTAGATAGCTAGATATACACACTGCCCAAGAATTAAGATATTATAAATATGATTTTTTTTTATAAAAATATATTATATATATAATTTTATTTTTTTTAAATATGGCCTGGCCCGCGCAGGCCATGCCCGTTAGGCC